AGAAAACAAGGTAGTTAAGCAAGATTTATTTTTTAAAAAAATTAATCTATTTCTTTTCATAAATTTTAAACTTGTAAGGCATTACACAAATCCATAAGTGTGGTAAAATTGCATAGAACTATACACACATACACACAAATAAGTGCACTTAAAACTGGTAAAATCTGAATAAGGTCTATCAACTGTATCAGTGTCAGTGTCCTGGTTTTGATAGTACGTATGATGGTATGGTACCATTGGGGGAAACAGGGTGAAGGGTGCATATAACCTCTCTGCAACTTCCTGTGAATCTATAATTATTTCAAAATAAAACTTAAAAGACTCATAAGGCAAATAAAAGAAATTTCTGTTAGATAACTGATTTATGCCAAAATGGGATTTGATTTTTCTAAAGGTAGGCTCAGGAGATGTAATTGATTTTAATTAATATTATGTGCAATATGAAAATTAACTGGCAATATTGAATAGTAAAGCTACTGAAATCATAAACCAAAATGATATGAATAAAAATATAACCTAGGGGCTTCCCTGGTGGTGCAGTGGTTAAGAATCCGCCTGCCAATGCCTGGGACACAGGTTCGAGCCCTGATCTGGGAAGATCCCACATGCCGCGGAGCAACTAAGCCCGTGAGCCACAACTGCTGAGCCCGTGTGCCTAGAGCCCGTGCTCTGCAACAAGAGAAGCCACCGCAGTGAGAAGCCTGTGCACCGCAACTAGAGAAGGCGCTTCCGCGCGCAGCAATGAAGACCCAACACCGCCAAAAATAAATAAAAAATCAAAAAGTATATATATATATATATATAAAACCTAGGACACAATTTTATACAAGGCTTTAAAAGTTTTTCTCATGGAGTAACATAATCAACTCCAATATAGGTCTAGCAATTATAAAATCATTATATACTTGTGTTGGTTTCTTGAGCTCTTTCATTGGCCTATATACAAATTAAAATGTTTTTATAACTAAAATGGAACAGTGGAATTTGTCCCTTTAGTATGAAACATGTGCTTGTTTTATTTTGTTGCACAATAGTCAATTCTGGTTTAGATTTAAGCACACATGGATTTCATTTCATTTTCATTCAGATAAAATGGAATTATTTTTGTCCTTGCTCTTGGTTGCTTGTTAAGTAAGAAAACGCTTATTCATGTTATGTAAGAAGTTGGCAAGTACCAACAAAATGTTCATGTTCATTGCAGATTACTCTTCTTTCATAGAAATCTACAACTTTTGTAGGGGCAGATCAGTAAATCTCACCCTGAGTATACTCTCATACTACACTGACTGAATTCTTCAAAGTGAAGTTCTCAGGCTGAGGAGAAGATTCAGAGAAAAGATCCCTCACCCAGTAATACACTTGAGTTGAAAGGGAGGGAAGATTACTGTTAAGTTTTGTTCTGCAGTTTTTCCAGGTGGCTTTTAATAAAACTTGAAACTTACTGATATTCTTTCCTCTCTCTGAACCCAAACAGTAGTGGAAACATTTTTAAGATTTCTTTCAAAGATTATTTCCTCTTAAAACCATTTACATTTATTATTATCTTTATGTTATTTTTTACTTAGAAAATGACAAGAATATTATAGTGTAGTAAGAAAGGATTAATTTAAGATCAGTGTTTTATAATTCTGGACACCTGTCCTAGAGTTGACGATCAAGCAAGCTGGTTCTTACCGTGGTTTAATGTAAGACAGCTGTGCTCCTGGAGTGACCACCCCCCCCCCCTTTATTTTTTTTTTAATATTTTTCATTGTTTTCCGACATTATTTTTTACCTGTTAGCTTGATCACATGTTAGGCTAACTACTGAGTTTTTTTACTTTTCTGTTGCTTTTTTTTTTTTGGCTGTACGCGGGCCTCTCACTGTTGTGGCCTCTCCCGTTGTGGAACACAAGCTCCGGACGCGCAGGCTCAGCGGCCATGGCTCACCAGGGAAGCCCTTCTGTTGCTTTATTTATTTTATTTTTTTTGCGGTACACGGGCCTCTCACTGCTGCGGCCTCTCGCTTTGCGGAGCACAGGCTCCGGACGCACAGGCCCAGTGGCCATGGCTCACGGGCGCAGCCGTTCCGCAGCACGTGGGATCCTCCCGGACCGGGGCACGAACCCGCGTCCCCTGCATGGGCAGGCGGACTCTCAACCACTGCGCCACCAGGGAAGCCCAGTTGCTTTATTTTTAACACATGTAATTGTGTCTTGGGGGAACTGGATGGTTTGTCAGACTGCTGTTTCTAGCATTCGCCTACCATATGTCCATGATATTTTCCTTCTTTGCATAGAATGGAAAACACTACAAAATTATAAGCTAAAGGTGTCTTTTTGAGGTTCTGCATCCCTGCTATGAAAAACTCCTAAACATATACAATTCTTTCTCACAGCACTCCTTAGCACTATAATTTATATATCCTTTTTTGGTTTAGATTAAGGACTTTAACAGCAGTCTTTTCTAGAGGCCAGGAAACAGTTGTTAAGGTCCTTTCCTGCCTTATAATTCCAAAACCTTTAATGTCACTGCTCTACTAATGACTTCCTGATCTAAGTTTTCCTCTTGTTAAATCAAGAAAGGCACTCTTTGTACCTGTTGGAAGTAGAATTTTAGTTAAGTTTCAACTCTTTCATTTTCAACTTAGAGTATGACAAAGAAGCAGAAAGTAATTTTGAGAGAATATTTTAATCACAAGATTCTATGGCAATTAGCATCTATAGGGACTATTTTTAAGCTTTAAGTAGGGAAGGACAGTGAATTCAAAAGTACTTGCATTTTATCTCTAGATGAATTAACTAAACTATAAAAGCTTTTTAGAATCATGTAATGTTAAACCTGGAAAGAACTTTGAATAGGAAACTGGAGACCAGAAGGCATTAATGATTTGCTGTATTAATTAGTAGCTTAGCTAGGACTTAGCTTCAGAATGCAAACTTTATTATAATTAATTGCAGGAGTTGTCAGAACCAGATCGTTATGTGACTCATAATTGATCCACTCACTGATTGAAGTTTAAGCCAGAATTTTTTAATGGCAGTTCTCAAAAGCTAACCTAGAATTTAGGGTAATGTGCAAATTAAGCTCTTCGTTCTACTGTATAGGATCTCCAGGAAAGGAGAGTCTGTGTTGAGTGTTCTGGCTTGCTGTTGCCGAAATTGTTTTCTAAAGTATCACTCCAGTCTTTTGACTTCTAGTTAACAACATTGATGGTTGTTTACTAGTGCATGTTGTCTGGTCCTACAAATGTGTTTTTTTATTAATTCCTGTATGACCTCAAGCAAGTCCTTTACTAGTCCCAATTTTTTTTTGACCAGAAATTTTGACATATGTACTACTGTGATTATCTGTAACCTCTAAGGCACTGGTACAGACTGTGAGTGGAATTTATTTTGTAACGTAGATAACAGAGTCTCTTCACTACTTTTTTTTTTAATCTATGTAAATTTATTTATTTATTTATTTATTTTTGGCTGCGTTGGGTCTTCGTTGCTGCACGCGGGCTTTCTCTAGTTGCGGCAAGCGGGGGCTACTCTTTGTTGTGGTGTGCAGGCTTCTTATTGTGGTGCCTTCTCTTGTTGCAGAGCATGGGCTCTAGGCATGCGGGCTTCAGTAGTTGTGGCATGCGGGCTCAGTAGTTGTGGTGCACGGGCTCTAGAGCTCAGGCTCAGTAGTTGTGGCGCACGGGCTTAGTTGCTCCGCAGCATGTGGGATCTTCCTGGACCAGGACTCGAACCCGTGTCCCCTGCATTGGCAGGCAGATTCTTAACCACTGCACCACCAGGGAAGCCCTTCACTGCTTTTTAGAATTGACCTAAAAAAACCCAACAACCTTTATTTTGCCAAAACTAAAGATAAATGATGTAATTATATAAAGAAAAAAGTTAGCTGAAATAGTAGGAAACTCTTACTGGTCAGATTTATCCAAAACTAAGCATTAATATATGAGGCACTTAGCATAGATATTTAGTTTTAAAAGAAATACTGTATGAATAAATATATGAAAAAGTAAGGGAAGTTATCTGCGGTTTTCCTTTAGCAAATAATTATGTCTAATGGTTTGTATATATAAATATGTAATGCCTTTAAAGAGAATTTATACATCACTTTGTTCTGAAGCACATAATGTACATAATAATGAAGGGACTCCGAGATGATATCCTGTTGGGAGTTCCTGGGGGTCCAGTGGTTAGGACTCCGTGCTTTTGCTGCCGGGCCTGGGTTCAGTCCCTGGTCGGGGAACTAAGATCCCGCAAGCCTCGCAGTGCAGCCAAAACCAAACCAAACCCAACCAAACAAACAAAAAAAAGTGATATCCTGTAATATATTTTGTATATATCTTCCATTTAAATTTTAAAGTTACAGTTTTAAGTCTAGATTCTGGTACAAGGCTAGCTAGTTAGATGTGAAACCTTTCATGTGAATTCACCTCTCTTGTTTTCGTTTTCTTGTTGTAAAAGTAAAAAGTGGTTTTTAGATATCATTACTGAAAAAAAATTCAACTGAGTAACTTTTAAAGATTTTATTGGCTTATTCAGTGATACATGAAATGGGCAGCATTCCAATTTGCAGGTAGAAAGGAGCTCTGAGGAGCTGTACAAAACGAAAGACTTTAGGCAGAAGGAAGTGGGACAAGGAAGTTATACTAGCTAAAAGTGGATTAGTTATGGCAAGGTCACTTTCCTTTAGGAGATTGCAGGGGACTTTCAGGCACATTACTTCACTAGTGCTGACCAGGTGATTCCTGATTCACTAGTTTAAGGTTCTGTTTCTGGGAGAGGCCAAAACTGTAATTAAGTCTTGGTTTGGTGACATGATACTTAGCATAAGTGACTCCATTTTGGGCCTGCTGTCTTGTTTTTATCACTGTCAACTATAAAATACAAAGATTGTATACAGTAGCAGATGTTCATATGTAGAGATCTTCAAGTGATAATTATTTAATTGGATATATGCTCGTGTTGGTTAGGATTCACACATTTTACCTTGGTTTATAGTTTTGTCCTCTTTTCTCCTTAGATCTCAGTGGTTCAATAGCATCCCCAGATGTCAAGTTAAACCTTGGTGGAGATTTTATCAAAGAGTCTACAGCTACTACATTTCTGAGACAAAGAGGATATGGCTGGCTTTTGGAAGTTGAAGATGATGACCCTGAAGATAACAAGCCACTCTTGTATGTAAAAATAATATGTATTTTTTGGTTTTTTAGAGCTAGTCTGTGGGATGATTGTATTTTTTCGTATTGTTTAAGACAGGTATAGAAAATCTTAACCTTTTTGGTCAAAAGTTTTAGCTATTTTCAGTTTTACTGTTATAGTTGACCCTTGAACAACACAGGTTTGAACTGTGTAGGTCTACTTGTACATAGATTATTTTTAATACATACATTGGGAATTTTTTTGAGTTTGCAACAATGTGAAAAAACTCGCAGACGAACCATGCAGCCTAGAAGTATCGAAAAAATTAAGAAAAAGGTATGTCATGAATGCAGAAAGTATATGTAGATGTACATGTAACATATAAAATATATGTTAATCAACTGTTTATGTGATTGGGAAGGCTTCTGGTCAACAGTAGGCTTTTAGTTAAGTTTTGGGGGAGTCAAAATTATATGTGAATCTTTGAGGGTGGTACCCATAACCCCAACGTTGTTCCAGGTCAACTGTAACTAGTAAAACTGAAATAATGAGAGAATATTTTTAACCTACTGAATGGCAAAAGTTAAAAGAATCATAATCCTATATCACACACAAATATACTACAAACTGTTAGGACTTACCTGGGTCTATAGATATCTGAAGTGAACATACAATGTAAGTAAAAAAGCAAGGTGCTTGGGTGCGTGCTGTGGAAGTTCAGTTTAAGATTTCCAAAAAGATTACCCCTCCAAACTCTCTCCTATATAGAAATTCTAGAGCTACCACTGGGAGGACTATAGGGATACTTTCACTTTCTTCATAGTACTTGAAAATTTTTAAGTGATTATGTATCACTTGGGGAAAAAAGGTGAAGAATTTAACAATTTTGGAAAGAAGAACCTATAGCTTTGTAAAATCAAGGTATTACCAAGTTATTCTCTGTAGTAATTATTGGTAGATCAAGTGCTAAAACATCCTGTTTCTTAACTGTTAATATACCGAACTTCATCAAATCTAAGATGGTATGGATTATAAGATGCAGTTATTTCACGTTTATTGATAAAACAGAAAAAGTACCTAAGACAGCATAAAGCTAGGACATCAAAGGGCTATCTTATCTCCTTAGTGTAAGGATAAATGAGAAATAACCTACCATACAAAGAGAGACAGCAAGGAAGTTTGCTTGTCTGTTTGGCACTGGGTGGGGTGTTGGAAGAAAAAGTGTCTGTGAGAATATAGGATTGCAGTCTGATTTATCAGTACGGTCCCAAAAAGTCTCAAGCAGAGAATTTTATTTAAAGTCCCAAGTTGATAGTGCCTCCAGGAGACTGGCAAAAGGAAAGGCAGATCTTGGAAGCACTTGGCTTCACTCCAGACTGACAGCAGTTGTAAGACACCAGCTATTGTGAGATGCATCCCAACTTTAGAGATGTTGAAATGATAAAAATGTTCATCATGGAACCAGTGAAATGTGGTACTTCAAATGCAAATGTTTTGTTGATCTGTGGTGACTGTAATGTTATATTTAAACTTTTCTTAAATTCTGCTGCAACTGTCTCAGTATTCAGAAGTGTGTGCTTTTTAAGAATTCTTATTTTAAAATTATAGGGAAGAATTGGATATCGACCTAAAGGATATTTACTACAAAATTCGATGTGTTTTGATGCCAATGCCATCACTTGGTTTTAATAGGCAAGTGGTGAGAGACAATCCTGACTTTTGGGGTCCTCTGGCTGTTGTTCTTTTCTTTTCCATGATATCATTATATGGACAGTTTAGGGTAAGTATATCTTACTTTTCACAAATTCTAAATAGTTTAAGAGTTTTAAAATTGAAAATAGCCAAATATTAACTGTAATACTTCATGTTTGAGAAATGCTTTAGCTTTACCCATTATTTCTCACTTGTTTATCCCTACAAGCTGTTCTTAATTAAATAAGTGGGGAGTGCCTTGGATTAATGATTTCCAAACTCTTCTACATCATCATTCTCATAAAAAGTATTAGTATTTGTATGGCAAGTGGGTAAAATGGTTGGGACTGCTCCCAGCTGCCCATACCCTTTCTGATTTCTCCCAAGGATAAAGAGTTTGAAACACAATACTCATGTTCTTATCTTTTATTCATTTTTAGTTCTGTTTTTTAAAGTAAGCTTCTTAATAAATGATGACAAGAATTCCATCCGTTTTTGTTTTTATATAATACTTTGTCCTATTCTCAGAGGCTTTATCTCTATCATCAAAATATGGCACATGCATATCATTCCCTCATCCCTAGTTTAAGGCTTTAGGGGAGTAAAAAATAACTCTTTACCACAGAGTGATTTGGAAATGAATTAGTTTCCTTTTGTACTATAACATATTTCCACAAGTTTAGTGGCTTAAAACAATGCAGATTTATTCTTTGACAGTTCTGAAAGTCAGAAACCCAAATTGAGTCTTAAAGGGCTAAAATCAAAATGTCAGCAGGGCTGGTTCTTCTGGAGGCTCCAGGACAGTCTGTTGCTTGCCTCTTCCCATGTCTGGAGGCTGCCAACATTCCTTGACTTCTGGCTGCATCACTGCAATCTGTTTCCATTTGTCACATTGCCTTCTCTACTGTAGTCAAATATCCCTCTGCCTCCTTTTTTAAAGGACAGTTGTGATTACATTTAGTGCTCACCAGAGAATCCAGAGTGTTCTCTCCATAGCAAGACCCTTAACATTATATAATACTGGTCCTATTAGTATTTACCTTGGATCAGTAGTTCATATCAAGTATTCTGTTGCAAGTATAAGGACCATTGAAGAAGTTGAATGGGGGTCTGTTCTCCTACCCACCACCAACCCTTCATGTAGAACATCTCTATATGAATTTTATCTATTTTATACAATCTTTCATTTGAACAAAGTGTTCTAAGGCTAAAAACAGAAGATTCTTATCTCCATAGAATGCTTCTTTGTCATTACTTAATCATTCATTTATTTTTGTCAGTATGGACTCATGGATATTTATTTTATTTTCTGGACTATAATACAATACTGTCATTTATTTTATTGCTCAGATTGTTGCAGTTTTAGCCATTGGGAGCGCCTTCAGGTTAGCTTCTGTATCCTTTTGCCATATCCCCATCTTTTTTGAGTACTTCCTTTCTTTCTGACTCCACAGAGTGTTCTGGGCTCACCTTTTATTGTCCCTGTCCCAGCCCAGAATCAGTCATTTTTCTAGGGAGTCCTAGTGCCTTTTGGGGAATATTTAGAAACCAGGATCTGGGCAATAAGTGTGCTTATGTTGCTACTGGGTGTCATTATTTCTAGACCCCCCCAAGCAGACAGAACTTGGAAATATATGCATATATCATTACTATGTCAAGTCTCAGGAGTTAAAATTGTGTGAAGTATCGTCCACATTCTGTTACTTGGATAAATGTGTAATTAATGTAAATTTTAGAGACCTCTTGAGAAGACTGGTAACTTGTTTCACAGATGAATTTACCTTCCAAAATGCTATAAAGTAGGGGTTGGGAGTCAACAGTTTGGTCTTTCTTTGCAGTTCTTTTATTATATATCATAAAATACTAAGGTTTCCTTAGGCAATTGATCATTGCTAAATTTTCAGTTTGGATGTAAAATTACATTACACATTTATATTCTTATTAAGTTTTACCTGGGAACCCAAACTCTCTATGACCTGAAGTTGGGTATACCAAAATATATGGTAGAGGATTGAGTTCGTGGGAAATTATCAGCTTATTTGGTACACAGATATTAACTGCATGAATTTTTTTTCTCTTAAGGTGGTCTCATGGATTATAACCATTTGGATATTTGGTTCATTAACAATTTTCTTACTGGCCAGAGTTCTTGGTGGAGAAGTAAGTGGTTAATTTTGAAAATAGCCTTTGTTTTTTATGGTAAGCTTTATTTTTGATACTGCAGGTAGTATCAGTAGCTATGTTCATTGTAACTGCTTTTTGTCCCAGAATTGCTTTTAAGTTATGCTACTTCTTTTAAGGTGATGTAAATATTAGTATAAATGTTATGAGAAATAAAGAGGAAAGAAAATCCAATTTCACTCATAAATAATGTATAGCTTTTTAGGGAAACATGCAATTTATTCTCTGTTACAGCAGTTCTCAAACTTTTTGATCTCAGGTCCCCAAAGAGATTTCTTTCTGTAGGTTGTATTTATTGATGTTTACCATGTTAGAAATTAAAATAAATATTTTAAATATATATTTATTCATTTAAAACTAAAAGTAAACCAAATACATTTTGACATAAAAAATACATTTTAATGAAAACTATTTTTCAAAACAAAGTGAGAAAAAGGTATTGTTTTACATATTTGCAAGTAGCTTCAATGTCTGGGTTAGTGGAAATTGTATTCTAATATCTGCTTTCTGCATTCAATTGTTACGCTATATTTTGGTTAAAGTAAAAAATAAGGCCTCACACAGGTATATAATTTTAAAAGGAAGAGTATTTTAATACATGTTTTGGATGATTATGATTATTCTACTCTGATACTACATCAACACTCAACAAGTAATATTTTCTTAAAGGTTCGTTGTAGTGAGGAATCTCAAACCATATCAGTGAACTTTTTATACACTGTATCATTGAAATTCACTTTGGATGGATCTTTTTACCCATGCACGATCTACTAAGAAAACACTAGTTCCCTGAGCTTTGTAGATCTTCCAAATGTTGACTCGTTTTATTGTACAATGTCAGAAAATCACATTCATTAATATCACCACCTATTTCATCAGAAAAATCTGTATTGGAAAACTATCAAGATAAGAGTGTTGGATACAAGTTTTCCAAAATTCTACTTTTTGCTTGAGAGAAATTTTGTAATTTGGAAGAAATACTGTCAGTTTTCCTTGAAATAAGAGGCTCACTTCATTCATTTTCATTCATGTTGCCTGTCAGTACCTAACTCTGAATAATCATAGTTTGTCTTTCAGTTGTTCTTTCAAGTAAAAGTGGTATTCTATGGATAAAGCATCTAATTCAACTCTTCACTCACACAGTTGTACAAATGCTCTTCCTTGGGATAACCATTGAATCAAGATACAGAAGAAATGCTTTCTGTGTACTTCTCATTTTGTTACACAGAATATTAAAAAGACATATTCAAAGGTTGAGGCTTAATAAAATTAATCATTTTAACTGCTTCATTAAGGACATTCTTAAGTGAAACTGGCTTTTTTTCTTCTTTTCCTGTGAGTGTGGGGTAGTAAAGAACACAGTAACTACTAGTATGTTTCATGCCACCTTATTTGTGCTAAAGCAGCATGTTTTACCCATTGCTTTTGTTCTATTAGTACCAATATCAACCCAATTAAAAAGGCAAATAATATTTTATTACTATTATAAAAAACAGTTTTGTGGGTTTTTTTTTTTTTTTTTTTTTTTGCGGAACGCGGGCCTCTCACTGTTGTGGCCTCTCCCGTTGCGGAGCACGGGCTCCGGACGCGCAGGCTCAGCGGCCATGGCTCACGGGCCCAGCCGCTACACGGCATGTGGCATCTTCTGAGACCGGGGCACGAACCCGTGTCCCCTGCATTGGCAGGCGGACTCTCAACCACTGCACCACCAGGGAAGCCCTGGGTTTTTTTTTTTAAGTTTTATTTATTTTATTTTTTTTCTGTGCCTTGTGGCATGTGGGATCTTAGTTCCCCGACCAGGGATTGAACCTGTGCCCCATGCAGTGGAAGCGTGGAGTCTTAACCACTGGACCGCCAGGGAAGTCCCCTATTACAAAAAATAGTTTTGACGTTCCAGTCTTTAAGAAGAGTCTCTGGGACCCCCAGAGGTCCATGGGTCACACCTTGAGAATCACTGCTCCATTAAATTAGACTTTATGAATTACTATAAACCTAGGAATTCCAGCACTCTGGAATTCAACTCTCTGTGAAGAGGGTAAAGCACAAGGGATGCCAGGCAGAGTTAACTATATCATGTGGGTGCTGACTCATATCAGGCTTGCTCTATGAACACTGAATGCTAAATGCAGAACTCTTGAGCCTTTTTCTCATACTTGGTGGAAAGGTCTCCACCAAGCTCTTGTTCTTCTGCTTTCCAGTTTCCAAAATTAAGTTGCTCTTGTCCTGTCTTCTAATCTCCTGTTTATGCTTCTTATAAAAAGGAGTTTCCTTTTTTCCTTCCCTTTTAATGGAGTTTCAGGAAGGAATGGTATTAGATATATGCACTCAATCCATCATCTTAACTTAAAACTCTTGAATAAATGTAGAATAACATTTATCTATGTAATTTTATCACTCTGCTTATGAAAATTTAAAATAATTCTAACAGCGACATTTGTTTGCATATTATTTCTTACATTCTAGACAAAACCTCATATAATTTTTAGGTGAAAAAAGGTGTCACTAAATGTTTTGGTAATTTAGGACTGTTGATAGAGAAGTTAAAAGACCTAGATCTTAATTTGAACTCTTACCAACTAGCTTTGCTTTCCTGAACAAAGCTCTTTATCTCTCTGGAATCACTTTCTTCATAATGGGGACAGTAATACCACATAGGGTTGTTAGTGCCTTTGATCTTCACAATATGTGAAGCTCTATCACGGAGTGTGGCACACAGTAGCCACTAAAAAATATTTCTCTCTTCAGTCCTCCTACCTTCTCTCCCTTCCCTTCTAGTCTGCATTTGTCACATCTAGCTTCTCTAGACTTGAATTTTTCATCAAAATAAGATGGTGTGGTTCCTTTAAATAATCCTTCTACAACAACGGAAATAGTGACTAAGAGATATACTCAAGGTAATTGGATGTATAAGTCTGAAGCTCAAAAGAGAGAGGGCAGGAAATGTAGATTTGGGTATTATCAGAATTGATAATCACGGTGGGTTGTTGACCTTGTCCACGAATATGAGACTATATGATAATTTGAAATATAATGGGTATGATACTTTTTTCTTAATTCTCACCTTTATGTAAGTACAACAAAGTATATATGATGTTTAATAGTGGTTAAAATAAGTATCTTGATTTCTGTGATGTTTATTTAACATTTTGAAAATTCACAGGTTGCATATGGCCAAGTTCTTGGAGTTATAGGATATTCATTACTTCCTCTCATTGTAATAGCCCCTATACTTTTGGTGGTTGGATCATTTGAAGTGGTGTCTACACTTATAAAAGTAAGTAGTGTGTTATAAAAAGTAGTTTACTGTTTCCCAGTAAAAAAAAAAAAGTATACAGTTGTCCCTCCGTATCCATGGGAGATTCGTTCTAGGACCCCCCCGCAGACAAGAAAATCTGCAGATGCTTAAGTTCCCTGTACAAAATGGTGTAGTATTTACATGTAATCTGTGCATATCCTTCCATCTACTTTAAATCATCTCTAGATTACTTACAATACCTAATACAATGTAAATGCTATATAAATAGTTGTCTGTAGTGCAGCAAATTCAAGTTTGGCTTTCTGGAACTTTCTGGTATTTTTTCTTCCCCCCAAATATTTTCGATCCACAGTTGGTTGAATCCGTGGATGCAGAACCCACAGGTAATAAGAGCTGACTGTACTAGTTCTCTGGCTAAGAATCTTGTAATCTATAACTGTTTATCAAACAGTTCGTAGTGTTTTGGAACAGGGACCTTACTCACTAATTATACCAGTTGTATTTCTTTTATTTTCCCCTTTTAATTGCCATAAATTATAATGTATGTCTATGGCAGAATAAAGAACAAAGAGCAAATCAGACCTTGGGGTATTACACTCAGAGAATTTTTTAATTTAATGTTAAAATTTTCTTCTAGTTCATCTGACTTAGATTTTGTGGGAGGTATTTATTTAAAATTCCACTGGCTCAAAAGGACACCTGTACCCCAATGTTCATTGCAGCACTATTTACAGTAGCCAGAACATGGAAACAACCTAAATGTCCAACGACAGATGAATGGATAAAGATGTGGTACATATGTACAATGGAATATTACTCAGCCATAAAAAAGGAACGAAATTGGGTCATTTGTAGAGATCTGGATGGACCTAGAGTCTGTCATACAGAGTGGAGTAAGCCAGAAAGAGGAAAAAAATATCATATATTAACGCATATATGTGGAATCTAGTAAAATGGTACAGATGAACCTATTTGCAGGGCAGGAATAGAGACGTAGATGTAGAAAATGGACATGTGGATACAGGTGTGGAAGGGGATGGTGGGACAAATTGGGGGATTAGGATTGACATATGTACACTACCATGCGTAAAATAGATAGCGGGAATATTCTATAAAGCACAGGAAGCTTAGCTTGATGCTCTGTGATGACGTAGATGGGTGGGATTGGGAAGGGGGGTGGGAGGGAAGTCCAAGAGGGAGGGGATATAGGTATACATATAGCTGATTCACTTCATTGTACAGCAGAAACTAACACAACATTGTAAAGCAATTATACTCCAATAAAAAAAAAACCTCGCTAAAAATAAATAAAATAATATTCCACTGGGACTGGACATTTATTTAATAATTGTCACTCATATTTGAATAGTAAGTTCTTTACCAAATATGATATATATGGTTCTAATAAATTGGCTTTTCTGTGTTGCAGAGATCAGGACTTCTTTGTGCTGTGTTAAGCTTATATTAACATATGTACCCACTTTAAACATTTACTGATAATATTAAATATTAATGAGTAGTGATTGAACTTAAATTTTGGCATTTATTAATTTTGAACAACTTTTGGAAATAAATGACCACTCTAACACATGTATGTATATAACATAGTGAATATAATTTTTTTTCTTTATGGAAAATAGAACTTCGACTTAAATTTTTAAGTAGAGTAACTTTTATGAGTTTTGGTTTTACTTAAAGTTTATTACTGATTCCAATATAAAATTATTCCTTTTAGAATTGAGTAACTACAGGCTAATACTGACATTATATAAGCCTTGGGTATTGAGAAGAGTTGGATTTTGGAACCAGTCAGTTCTGAATTCAGATTCTGGTTCTGCCACTTACTTGCTGTTTGCCTTGGGGAGATATCTTTTAGTACCCTCCTGTGCAAATTGGGAGTCTTAACTACTTTTTAGGGTTTGTTACGGATTTTAAAGTATAAATAATGTCTAGTATAGTGCTTAACAGAGTAGGCAAAGTGGTAGCTGTTATTATTATAAATGTTAATCGAATATTTTGAGAACATCTCTGTATGTTTGAACTGTTTGAACACTTTAGAGACCAAGGAGAAGAGCTTTCTTTCCTCTAATCCTAAATATTTTTTTAATTGTCATTATTAGCACTTAGTTTAAAAATCTTACAGTACAAGAGCTAGCCCCATGCTGGCATTTAATTATCTAGCCTTAGTGAACATACCACTTTACTGAATCATTCAGGATCACTGCTTGTGTGTTGTTTTACTTGGGTTAAAGCATGTTTGAATGCTTCTGAGACTACTGCCCAAATTGCTAAAACTGTCCTCTGGTTATTTTTAGTCATTGAGTTCAACTGAAAATTGGTCTTAATGTTCTTTATGCAACATGTGAATGTTTTATTATAAAGCGGAAGAATCTTTTTTATATCATTAAAAGTTTAGGATACAATTCTTTTTAAACTTTAGATTTTCTTCCCCACATTTCTTTCCCTAATCACTTAATCTTCTGTGTGTAGCAATCTGTTTTACATGTTTCTTGTTTTAGTCCAAAGTTTGCTGAGAAATAATGTTGCAAAACTCGCATCACTTAACTCTAGCATTAGAATACAGTTTAATCTACAAGCACTCATTTTTTAACATTAAATCTCTGTAACTCTTACCAATCTTTAACCATTTATTTACAAAAAAATTTAATCATGCCATACAAATGCAATTTGATTATAATTTTACTTCATTTATTTCCCTATACCTTTTTGTAGGTTTAAAATATCTTGCAGGTTTTTTTGTATGTTTTTAGTTTAAAAAGCACAATATAAAATCGGACCATCTCAAATACATTTTCAGTCAGTCTGCCAGTATTTATTTTTTACCTCTGTACCAGTGGTTCTCAACTGATGGCGATTTTGCCCCCCTAGGACATTTGGCAATGTCTGGAGACATTTTTGGGTATCACAAATGGGGAGGGCTGGGATGGCACTAGTATATAGTGACTAGAAGCCAGGGATACTGCTAAACATCCTACAGTGCACAGGACAACTTCCCACAACTATTTTGATTAGTGCATGGTTGAGAAACCCTGGTCTGTGCCAGGTCTGTTTCTGTCATAGTTTCCCTGATTTCTACCGTTATAGTTCTTCCTTTCATTTTATTCTGTAAAATGCCTTCAGTGACTATATTGATAAGTATTATATAAATTTCTAGTTGAAATAATTTAAAATTAAGCACGTGCATAATCAGAAAACTCTCTTCCATTATGGTTTACCATGGGATATTGAATATAGTTCCCTGTGCTATACATTAGGACATCAACTATACTTCAATTTTTAAAAAAAGCAAAAAAAATTTTTTTATTATGAAAAATTTTCAAACAATAAAAAAAAAAGAAAACTCAACCAAAATGTTATGGTTTTCCTCCTTTCCATGTAACACTATATTCTTCTACCTTGTCCTGGGAAAATGATTTGATACTTAATAAATGTTGTGTAAAATTTTCACTTAATATGTTTTTCTACTTCTTGGGGGAAAAAAAGGAAAAATTTCTATTTTGTGAAGATCAATTAGTTTTCTTTCAGGAAACAAATATCTTTCAGCTGCCTATCCCTATAATAGTTTTTCTGAAAGTTGCCGTATCTTAAGTCACCAGGGACACTTGTTAAAAAGTCTGATAATTAGACCCTTCTTCCCTTTAAAGATTCTGATTCAGGAGAACTAGAATGAATCCCAGGATTCTGTTTTTTAATAGGCACCCAAGGTGATTCCTATGATTAGACAAGTTTGATAACAAAAGACTTCATTTGCAGAAGTCAGGGAGCAGAGCAAGGATGAATATTCCTAACAAGTTTTAAACATTCTCAATAAGTGTTACTGCTTCTACAATTGGTTGTTAGGGTTGTTTTAAAAAAATACTGTAAATGTTATTTTTATGATACCCAAAATGTTAATTAACTTGCTAATATGCTGCCTTTTGTCTTTTTTGTTTGTTTTTTTAAAGCTCTTTGGTGTGTTTTGGGCTGCCTACAGTGCTGCTTCATTGTTAGTGGGTGAAGAATTCAAGACCAAAAAGCCTCTCCTGATTTATCCAATCTTTTTATTATACATTTATTTTTTGTCCTTATATACTGGGGTGTGATCTAAGTCATATATGAGTAGAAAAAGACAATGTTACCTTTCTGTGTAGGCTGGGAATTCTTGCTTGAGGGGATTGAAAAAAACGTATTGCTGGTAAAATTTTACATGTTCCAGATGTAAAGGCAGTCTAAGGTCTTTTTAAAACAATATTTTTTTTTGTATTTAATTAAGCAATTGCAGTTACCTGAATATTTTTGGTCAGAATTCTGAATTCTGTTTGATTCATCATATTCCAGTGAATAAAATATAAAAGCATTGTGTTTTTAAGATTGTGTCAATATTCTCCTAAAAACTTGTGCCAAAAGCACCTGGAATGGTAATTATATTTCACTTGAAGGGTAAATATGACAGCATCCTGATAATCCAAAAGTGCAATTTTTTTCTTTAAAGGGTTTTCTCCTGCATTGCAGATCCTGTAGATATATATTTATATTTATATATATATTTATGAAGTAATTCTTATTATTCACAAAATGTATTTCTGAATAACCTAAAAATTAAGATATTTTAAATCTGATGCTTAAACTTTATTTAATTTGGCCATTAATCTTTTTATTTATAAATTTAATTTTGCTTTTAAATTATATATAATTAAAAAAATCTCATACATGCTTCAGTCAGTATGTCCTTGTTAAGAATTCTTAATAATAACAATTGAAACTAGTAACAGTTGCTGATGTAGATTTGGTTGATTTTAAGTGGTACTCCGAAGTCATAAAAGTTGCTGGAAAGAGACCATTAGAGTCTTGTGGTCCTGAACAATGTTATATGAAGTAGAAGAAAATAAAATGCTTCCCAGCTGTGTGTTTTGTTTTTATAACACCTTGTCCTGTATTACTTGATATTTTAACAAGTATCAGGTACTCTTTAACAAGAATACAATAATATTTACAAAAGGAGGTATTAAATTTTAACTAGAGAAATTTTTTTGGCAAATAATTTCATAGACTGTAGATGTACGTTTAATCTTAGTTTGTACAGTAGATAAAATAATTTATATCGATAAAATAGCAAATGCCTAATAACCATTAGCATATTATTATATTATCCTTTCTGGTCTCAGCTGGAAGAGTTAACTGCTGTCTTCAATATGGTAATGTGGCCACCTCTTGGTATGTATTCCTTTAGCAACCTAATCTGTCAGGAAATATCCAGCAACTCTGAAGTAAGCCTACAGATTAGCAAAATATCAAGCCCATCTCTCTTCCATTTCCCCTCTCCCCTCCCCCACCTGAAAAAGAAAAAAAAAAAGCTTATTTTAAGGAAAACTATGGAGCTACCTTTGGGCCAGAATAATGTGGAAAAATTACATAATGCTGGTTATTTAAATAAGTTTAGGAAAGCAGATTAGAAGCAACAGGATAGAACCTCTAGAACCTAAAATAATATGGAATAGTGAGGAAGGATCTACAGCTACAGAAGCAGCAACTGTAAAATGAACATTTGTCATACTTCAGGAGTTTCTGAGATCAGTACTTTATTATAGTAGATTATTATATTTGATGGTCATAGTGTTGACCCTGAAATCTTCCTCAGAAAGCTTAGGGGTCCACACCTGGCAGTAGAATTTTACTAAGCAATAAGTCAAGGCATTTTAGGACCAACTCCATCAAAAAGATGGTTTAAAAATTTTTTAAGCTATCATTTCTTTAAGATGTGAATAAAAAGTTCACTTATATGAATCACGTTTATTCCTGATGATGTAAGATAAAAGGAGATATTTGTGTTCTAAAAATAACAGCATTTAATCTTGGGACCTGTCCAATTTAGGATATATATAAATACAATTTATAATGTTTCAAGCTCAGCCAATGTCTTCATGTGCTAATGAGCAAAGCAGTTAAAACAGATTGTTAGTTTGAAAACATGACTTGTAAATGTGTGCAAGATACAGTACTGCTACAGCTAATAATGGTAAGCTGACTACAATGTCCTCTCCTTGAATTTATATATAATAATATTTTATGTCATATTGATTGTAAATCATGATTTCCAGCCTAATTATTAGTTCATTAGTGTTTTTAAAACAATTACCCAGATAGCCTCTTCTAGGTGTCTGTGTGTGCGTATACATGTTTTAAGTGTTTTTAGTTGTAGTAATCCTGATGAATGTTAATCCTCAAAAAAAAAAGAAAAGAATTATGAGACATTTACTTCTGTTTTAAATTGATTATAAAATAACTGAAATTTTGAATATAAATCAAAGTCTATATATAATTTTCTTTGTATTAAAATACAGTTTAGGGAGATTTGTAAAGTTTTATGAACCATTACTAAACCTGCTAATTTCTAAGGTCTATAAGACAGTTTTATATATATCTATTTCCAAAAATGCCCCCAATATTAATATATTAATATTCTAAATTAGTGAAAATTTGCATTGACTTGAAATGTGAGGTAGATATTTTTGTTTAAATATTGTTTAAAATTTAGTTCATTTAAAAAATTCTGATGTAATAAAACATTGAATAAAAGAATGCTTCTACAAACAATAAAAACAATATTTTTCATATTCAACAGAACAGTATTTTAAAATGATTGTTATTTATTTATCTTTTACATTTTCAGTACATATTTTAGCTAGTGTTAGGCTTCAGGAAATTGTGACACGTTTGTTAAGTTTTGTTAAAATGTCTTACTTCCATACAGTTTTTTTTGGTAATTGAACAAATTGGTTTTCTTGTTTTGTTCTTTGCAGCAGAGGAGAACAACACACATCTTGGGGAACCAGCCATAGGGTGTCTCAGAGTGTTTAAAAGGCCCTATTACAGGATTTAGGCTTGTGTTAATACAATTCATGGCAGTCTGAAATAAGTCTTAATAGAGCCAAAAATCACCCTCAGGTATTCTCTTCTCTGAAATTTTAGTCACATAAACAATATAAGTGTTTTATTATCTTTCATAAAAGGTTTCTTTAACTGAACCCTGTACCTAGTAGTACATTTTAATTTCCCTTTAGAAACTGAATTACAAGTACTCTATTCCTCATTTGTTTAATCTCCTGACAGTACTTTGTGTGTTTGAGAATCTGTTGTCACTTTTCAAATAAATTCCAAAATATGATTTTTGACATTAGTAAAGACTAGACATTCTTATATCTTTGCACTAGAAATCATTATATTTTCTGAAGAAAGTCTGCTTGTGAATACATTTTCTTTATAACAAACTTTCTTCCTGTACATTTTCTTTATAACAATTTTAGGCCCTACTGTGTCTTATGGGGTATAGTGGTCTGAAGAGAAATGGTTAAGAGAATACTTATTCCCTGGTGCAAAGCATATATTATTGCAGCTTAGGGTTAGGTTGCTCATTTGAAATTCTTTTGATATGCTGAGGTTGCAGTTTGGAGATTAATTTAAGGAAAGAATGTCAGGATGATTAAGATGGCATTAGTAAAATAATTTCCTATTTTACATTTTGTATTAGTAGTAACCATGGTTTCAACTTTTCTAATTTTCAGCAAGATATCCACAAGTTTTTACTTTGAAGATACTTAATTTGAAATTTGCAAGTGCTTGGAAAAAATTCCTGAAACATCCCTTCTGAACAGTTCGATGATATACTAATGCTGTCACTGAGATTTAAGTTAGATATTAATATGAAAAAAATTTTAATGAAATATTTTGAATTTACTTGTAATTAGAGTATATGAAGGTTATTAATGCCTATGGGGTGGGGAAAGTAAGCTTTCCTACCTGTAATAATTTTGTTAAATTAACACTTGGAATATAAGTAAATTAGATTTATCAGGAGTAGAAACCTTAGTTTTTCTATAATAGTTGCCACTGAGCTGTTTTTATTAAAAATCAAGCAAGCAAAAATATCTTACCAAAGTACTTATACAGGATCAAATGAAATTACACAGAATGACTGGTTATGGGAGAAATTTGTCATCTGGTAATAAAGAGAAAAAGCTAATATAAAAGTAGATCGGTGCTATTCACAAATAAGTGCTCACTGATGAAGATAAATGATTGAAATTCTACATTTTTCTTGGTTTTATAGTGATTCTTTTGTGGAATTAATCAGTTGCTATTTAAATATCACTTAAATTGTGTGCACCATTTGATAATGAAACAACCCATATGTTTTGTAATTCTTATGCTGAATTACACTCTGATAATTTAGTGTCTCCATAGAAAACAGTGAAAATATTCTTGTTGATGATGATGGGCCTAGGTACTAAGTCCCTCATACTCCATCTTCTGTGCTAAATGGGACTTAGGAAACTCTTTAGCCTAATACAAACTTATTTTCCAAGGATGGTACTGGTGATGGCCCCAAGAATGAAACGTTCAGAAGAAACAGCATTCGAATTGGGTAACTTGAATGTGAAGAGATAGTAGATATTCATCAGCTATTAATTGACCCCTTTCTATGTGCCAGGTACTACACTAGGTGCAGGAATACAATGATGTGCAACAAAGACCACACATGCACCCTAATGAGCCAGTATTTTTTGAAAGATAGACAATTAGTTTAACGAAGTGTAACACAGTTGCAACAAATGGAGAAAGGCCTGTGGTGGCAAGAGAGTGTATAACAGAGGAATTAGACAAGAAAAGCCTTGCTGAGGCAATGATGCTTAAGCTGAAATCCTTAGGGATAAGTAAAAGCTAACTAAGCAGAGAAGGGAGGGAAGACTGTTAACAGACAGAGGGAATAGCAGGTGAGTAGAAGGAAACGAAAACTCGTTTGGCTGAAGTTTAGTTGTTTGTGAAATTGAGCGGGTATATTGGTACCACACCATACCTGACATTCTAAGCTATGTTTTCTTTGTCAGAGCTTTTGATTAGAAATACGGTATCTGAAACATGTGCTTTTAAAACTAAGGCCAAGGTCTGCAATTCTACTCTTGATATATCCCAACAGAAATGCATGTACATATGCCACAAAAGACATGTGCAGAGTAACATGAAAAATTGGACATAGCATATCCATCAACATAAAATGGTACAATTATATGGTGGAATCTTATGCAATGAAAATGAATAGAGTCTTGTGCAAGAAAGTGACCACCAAAAGTCTTAATGCTTATCCCTAATGGGGAGGGAGAAGAGTTGTATTTGGAAAGACTCTTGAGGGACTTTAATGGGTGGTTTTTAATGATGTATTAAGCTGTATGTTTCATGTACTTTTCTGTATGTGTGTTACAGTGCATCCTTACATTGTTATAATTGTTTTAAGGTAGTTAAATTGCCACTTTGCATTTTACTCTTTTTCATGTATTATTATGCCATAGCCATCTTCATGTCATACAAACTTCA